ACCTATATAGGCATCATGGCATCCATGTTGTAAAATTAGTGGTTCTTCTAAAACAGATCCAGGATCCATTGCATGCCACTAGTTTTGTAACTACTGCTTAATCTAATATACCATTTTATTGGGATTGTAGCGTTATACTGCCATACCCATTTAATTTTAATGAATTCCATTAAATTCTGAATTATAAAAGATATTGCCTGAGGTTTCTTCTGGCATTATGGTCTTTATTTCAACTTTTAATATTAAATATTGATGAAAATTTTACTTCCCTATCTGCATTCAAAGGACCAGTTATTAGGAAGAAGGGGAACATTCTACTTTGTTATCTAACTTATATTTAGTTTGATTTGAAGGGAGGCAACTCTATTTTTTGTCTATGCAATAATTCTTTGCCTCGTAATGATTATATTATTGCTGACAAATGTAAATCCATGCATGTAAACCTATCTGTCTGTCTTTTGTTCAGGATGGAGGATTTGATCTAGATATGACATACATCACAGAGAACATAATAGCTATGGGATTTCCAGCTGGTGATATGAGCTCTGGGTTTTTTGGATATTTTGAGGCAAGCTAGCTAGTTTTGTACTTGACTTTGCCTACTCTTTAATCAGATCACCACCATTAAACTATCAAGAAATGTGATTGTGCAGGGGTTTTATCGAAATCACATGGAAGAAGTGATTAAGTTTTTCGAAACCCATCACAAGGTAACAAAGATGTTTAGTGGCTTTTTTCTTTTTTTTCTTTTTTTAATGATAATAAAGATGTTTAATGATGCACAACTTTCCCCTTGTGCCGTGGATTTTTTTACTCTAGGTGTCTGTTTAGATTATTCCATGATGTTTGGTAATCTTAATTTTATTCAAGGATAATTTATGTAATCATTTTTTTTACCTTTCATTTCACTTGTTTAGACTTTGGTATTCATTTTCTTTTTCCTTTTTAATTTTCCACTTAATCATAGATGGTGTGGATGGTATACTTACCTTGGAAGTTTTTTTTTTTTTTATTGGGAAGTTCAATGCAAATGGAAATTAGATTTATTTTATGCATTAGATGAGTAGCCTGCTTTGTTTGTTATTTTCCTATTTCCACTTTGATAATGCCATTGATAATGGAGTTTTTGCAAAGCAAATGTTGGTTTGCAATTTTGTTTCATCTTGGTAGATGTGAAATTTTCCAGTTAATTTTTTTAAATGTCCTGATTTTTCTGAATAGAATTTTTTTTTGGGCCTCAATTTCAGAATAGATTTATAGTAAGATAATTTACTAAGTGCAGCAAAATTCTTCTTTCTTTGAATCTTCTTCTGGATATACATGGAATTGAAAATATTTTGGGTAATTACACACAAGATAGGCAAGCCCATACTCAACATTACTCTCAACTGTTTATTGGGTTAGGTAATTTACCTTTTATCATCGATATGGATGCATTTAAATTATCATGTGTAGATTCTCCTTACTATTACTATTTGGTTAAATAATTGTTCAACTCTATATTTTTCATATAAT